TTTTTTATGGCATGTTCTTATTTCCTGGGTGATGGATGGAAGTGGTTCCATCAGTCGCTGTGGTTCAGCAGACGATGTGATCAATGCTGGTGCAGTCTGGATTCTCATCATAGTCAGAAACCTTTCATCTCGTTTCAAGTGACAGTAAATCAGCCACATCAGATGTGGACTGTTTGAAATGTGAAGAACCGGAGTTCTGTTTAGATGGCGGAGTGAGAACTAGAACCACAAACACACTGTTGTGGAAAGTGTTTCCTCTGAGTGAATGTAAGAGCTGAAATAAACTGGACCCAGCTACGAATGATGCCCCAAAACTGGAGCTGAAGCTGAACTGGGTCTGGATCAGGTAACACATGTTCCATCTTCAGCCTAAACTGGTCCAAAGCTACACTCCCAGAACTGAGAATGGGCAGCTGTGGTTCCGGTGGTAGAGCGGTGGTCCTCTGAGGTCGGTGGTTCCATCCCCTCCACAGTCCGAGTGTCCTGGGCGAGACACTGGACCTGAAGGTGCTCCTGATGGCAGCAGCAGCTCAGAGAGAAGCTCTGTGGTCGCTGGTGCATCAACAGTCTTTGTTTTGTTGTTTTGACTTGAATGCTGCACTGCTGGTTTGGCACGCTTCAGTTTCACTGTATACAAAGTGTTACAATGACAATACAGATTCTATTCTATTCTGTTCTATTCTATTCTATTCTATTCTGTTCTATGTGTGAATGAGAAACAGTGTAAAGCGCTTTGAGCAGCTCTAAGGCAGAAAGGAGGGATGTAAGCACAGAACCGACTGTGGAACCTGATCCAGGTCTGCACTGATCAGCTGTTAAACATTTACTGTCACTGTGTCCTGTTCTGTCGTCATTTCAGAACAACTTCAACAGGTTTGGAATTAATCAGTAAGTCCGACATCATGACATCATCAGGGTTTTACCGCGAATACAATCAAATGTCACGTTAACGTAATTAACAGTCTCATGAATAATCCTGTTCTTTGTGTCCAAAAGCCTTTCCACTGATTGAACTGTCACCAACTCTCCTGTAGAGTCAATGATAATGAATGAAGCACACAGACGGACTTTATTATTGCACACTTTTAAAGCTGCTACAGTATTTATCAGCTGAGACACAACAGAGAGAGAACATCTGGATGCTACTGAAGGTAGAAACCAAAACTTCTCTACAAACTTAAATCATTTAGCTTCAGAGTCTGAAAGTCCATTTAGTGATGCTGGTTAAAGTCGTAGCAGCAGACGATGAACTAGAGCAGGAGGAGGTAGAGCAGCCACAGCAGAACACACAGAGTCCCGAACCAGGCGTCCACGCTGATGATGTCAAACGCTTCGGCCACCAGCCACGTTTCAGCGCCGCAGCCACGAGCTGCCGGCCGCCAGTCGAGGGCGTCTCGAACCTCGACTCGGTCGTCATCAGCATCCGACGCCTCGACCAGGAGGAGCTCCGGGTCCTCGCAGGGCCGCGCCTCTCCATCTTTGAACCTGATGACCATGATGACAGTCAGATCGATCAGCTGACCAAGACCAGCTACATGTTTTAAAACTCTGCAGGTGGTTTCAGCTGATTCATCGCCTTCGTTCTGTTTCTGCACAAACTCAAATCTTCCACGGTCATGTTGGTTCGTGTCCACAGAGATGCTTTAGGTCACATGACAACCAGCATTACAGCAGATGATTGACAGGTGCTCCAACTCAGGCCCCGCCCTCCTACAGCCGCTCTGACACTGGCTGCACCTGATTGGACGGACACTGTACTCGGGCTAGGGTTAGGGTTTTCAAACTTTTTGTTAAAAACATTTCATTGAAACGTGTTTCTGAAAACATCTGAGGTGAAATAATCTGATCATCTTTGATCAACTGTTAGTTTCCTGTCGAGTTTCTTCAAAGCCGCAGACTTTATTAAACTGAAGAGCAGCAAAGCTAGCTACGCCTCAGCTCTTACGCTACACTGCGACTCTCCCAGGATGCATTGCATGGTGTTTTCAGAGACAATGATCAGCGTTGAATATTGGAAGCTGTGGACACGAACCATCAAACCCACAGTGTGTCCATCCAGCATTACAACTTTATGTTTTTGGCAGGTTTTAGGATGTTGCGCCTCGATGCTTCGTGTTCAGTGTCACATGTGGAGATTTAACTGTGATTATAGCTGCTGGAGCAAAAAATATCCTGCAAACGATCAATAAAGTCTTTGTCTGTTATACACTCAGAAAAATAAACGTTCTAACTGCAAACAAAAGATGAGCTAGTTTTAGTCCCAGAGAGTCTTTTATCAGGAGGCTGCAGCTGATAGAAGCTGCAGAGTTCATTAAACTGTGTGCATGAACATCTTTACACCTGCAGTAACAGAGTCTTTGCTGTGCAGAGGACATGTTTACACCACTGATGCGTGAAAGCTAGCAGAGGTTCAAACAACAGAACCAACCGAGTTGAACCCCAACAGATGAGCTGGACGTTAGATCCACATCTGCATGACATCAGCCCCCAGGATGGAAAACTGCTGCTTTAATCCTGTGGACTGTAGCTGTGTCGCCCCGACAACCAGCAGGAGCAAAGAGACGGTATCCACGGTGACGGCCCACAGTCTGTGTCCTGCCTCAGATTCCTCCCTCCTACAGATCTTACAGAGGTCACGGCAGATGGCGAGCTGTAATTGGTCAGGAACCGGTGTGGAGTCAGCTGATCTGAATGCAGCGCGGGCTGCAGGTGTCTCGGTGGTTAGCACCGTTAGCACCGTTAGCACCGTCGCAGCTAGAAGGTCGCCGGTTGGCGTCCCGGTGAGGACACCCGGGATCTTCCTGTGTGGAGTCTCCATGTTCTCCCCGTGCAGCGTGGGTTCTCTCCG